TTTAACTCTCGCATGGAAAACTTGTCCAACCCCTCTGTTCTCTTTCTACAAGCGTTTTCTGTGTTATAGATGCCCCAGCAGGATGGTAGCCATTGAAGGCCCCGGCTCCTTCTTCCCTTTCTAAGCAGAAGTACCTGTAAGAGGATGTTAATACCACTGGTTTCGCAGGTTCCCATGGGAGCAAAATGACCAAGGTATGTGTAACCTGCTCACAGAGTTACAGTGACTTATCAGGACTCAAGGCAACCCTGCTGTTCTCAACACACCTCTGCGTCAAGCCTGGCTGTTGCTGATTTTTGTGGTTCTGGATGAAATCTCCTGATGCTTCTGCATTGCTTTTTATTGTTGTTGTTTTCAAGTAAGAAAATGCCCTGGTTGCTTTCATGAGTGGAAGAGAGGAAGAAAAAGAAAACTGTGTGTGGGTGTGGGTGTTTAAAAGTGTATACATAGGAGGTCAGGATGGTTCAGCAGCAGAGTTTGTACTGGTGCAGCTCTTCCAAAGGCCAAGAGTTTGGTTTCTGGTACCCACACTGGGTGGCTCACAACTGCCTGTAACTCCAGCTCCCGGAGGATCTGATGTTTCTGGCCTCCTTACACACACACACACACACACACACACACACACACACACACACACACACACTAAAAGAAAACAATAAAATATTTTTACAAACATACATATAGATACTTAAGGGGAGCTGGGACGGTGACTCCATGGTAAAATCTTGCTGTGCAAACAGGAAGGCCTGAGTTCATATCCCTAGCACCTACATGGGTTAAAAATAAAAAGGGCATAGTGGCACCCTTGTAATCCCACCTCAAGGATGGAGACAGGAGGATCCTAGAGACTCACTGGCCAGATAGTCTAGACAGTTTGTAAGCTCTGGGTTCAGAGACCCTGCCTCAAACAAAGAAGGTGGAGATATTTGATGTGGACCTGTGGCCTGCATACACACACATTCCACACACAAATCAATAAACGAATGAGGTGGATATCACTCTGTATAAATAAAATGCTGTTTGACCAGTAGCCAGGCAGGAAGTATAGGCAGGACAAGCAGAGAAGAGAATTCTGGGAACAGGAAGGCTGAGTCAGGAGACGCTGCCAGCCACTGCCATGAGTACCAACATGTACCGGTAAGCCACGAGTCATGTGGCAAGGTATAGATTAATAGAAATGGGTTAATTTAAGATATAAGAACAGCTAACAAGCCTGCCACGGCCATATAGTTTATAAGTAATATAAGTCTCTGTGTGTTTACTTGGTTGGGTCTGAGCAGCTTCGGGACTGGCGGGTGAGAGATTTGTCCTGACTGTGGGCCAGGCAGGACTGGAGAAAACTTCAGCTACCAACGAAGAAAAGCTGTAGCTGGAGTTTTCCTGCCTGGCCCACAGTCAGGACAAATCTCTCTCACCCGCCAGTCCCACAGCCACTCAGACCCAACCAAGTAAACACAGAGACTTATATTGCTTACAAACTGTATGGCCGTGCCAGGCTTCTTGCTAACTGTTCTTATATCTTAAATTAATCCATTTCTATAAATCTATACCTTGCCACGTGGCTCATGGCTTACCGGCATCTTCACATGCTGCTTGTCATGGCGGCAACTAGCAGTGTCTCCCTCCGCCTTCCTGTTCTCTCAGTTCTCCTCTCTGTTAGTCCCGCCTATACTTCCTGCCTGGCTACTGACTAATCAGTGCTTTATTTATTGACCAATCAGAGCAACACATTTGACATACAGACCATCCCACAGTAAAAAGCAATCAAATAAAGCATATGTAGGTACCTCCAGCCTCTCCCTCCAGGCAAAATTAGCAATGAAATGTCTTATCTAAATTTTGATATACCTGAGGTTTTCCTTTACTATTTTCCTTTAGGGATCAAACTATACAGAACCATCCAGAAACTAGATCAGGATTATTATTTTATTTTTTACTTTAAAAAGGTTTACTCTTCAGACTTTACTTATTTCCCTTTATGTGTGTGAGCGTTTGCTTCCATGTATGTATGAGCACCACATGCATACCTGGTCCTTGTGGAGGTCAGAAGAGGGCATCCGATCCCCTGGAACTGGAGTTATAGACGGTTGTAACTCCATGTAAGTGTTGAGAACTGAACCTCGGAAGAGCCACTAGAACTCTTAACTGCTGATCTATCTCTGCAGCCCCCTTGCTTTGTTTTTTGAGACAGGCTGGATTGAAACTCAGTCCATAGCCAGCCAAGGCTAGTCTTTAATTCATAGAAATCATCTTGCCCAACCCTGTCCCTGCATCCACCCCTACTGCTGGGACTACGGTTGTGAACCACCACACTCAGCTTAGGTCAGAATTCTTTTATTTCCCAGTCAGCTGGTTGTAGAATACTGTTGGATATTGTAGCTATTGGAGGAAAAGCATGGGGAAATTGAGCAGGAATAGGAGACCTAGAAATCTGGGGCATTCTCTCCCGGAGTTCACTTTTGCTCTCAGGAGCTTAGCAATCTCTACTGTGTGTGTAGACCTCATGCATCTGATGAGAAGGAACTGCTGGGAATGCCCATCTTTAGGGTTGCAGGACTAAATACCATTGACCTGAGGTTTCAGAGGCAGGAGGATTGTCATGAGTTTAAGGTCAGCCTGGGCTACATAGTAAGATCCTGTCTTTAAAAAATAAACAGGGGGCTGGAGGGATGGCTCAGTGGTTAAGAGCACTGCTTGTTCTTCCAGAAGTCCTGAGTTCAATTCCCAGCAACCACATGGTGGCTCACAACCATCTGTAATGAGATCTGGTGCCCTCTTCTGGTCTGCAGGTGTACATGCAGATAGAGCACTGTATATGCAATAAATAAATAAATCTTTAAAAATAAACAAACAAACAAACAGAATAAGCAGGTCAGTGGTGGTGCACACCTTTAATCCCAGCACTAGGGAGGCAGAGGCAGGTGGGTCTCTGAGTTTGAGGCCAGCCTGGTTTACAGAGCAAGTTCCAGGACAGCCAGGGCTACACAGAGAAAGCCTGTCTCAGAAAACAACAACAAACCAAACAAACGAATCAGAGTTGTACCGTCTGCCAGTCTGTGCTTAGGAAGGACTGGGATGCTTGGCTGGGGGCATTGTGTGATTGTCAAACAACAAGAGCAATTTTGATGGTAATGGCTTTGATGGTGTTCAGGAGGATAAAAGGAATCTGTGCCTTCAAGAGTGGTTTGAAAAGGAGTTCTCTGGTCCTCTGCATGCTCAGCCCACACATCTACTCCAAATACACCTACAGCCACATGAGTCCAGTAGCTGCTGGGCCTGTGCCTACCCCACACTCACACTTGGTGACAATTCACAACCCAAGGACTGACTTCAAGAGACAGTTTAGCTTCTCACACTGGGAGAAAACGGAAAGGAACCTTCCCCATCTCAGCCACACGGGTGGAGTGGGAATGTACACTGTGTACTGGGCTGTGTACAGCCAGTGTGCTCTGGGCCAGCCATCTGCCTCATTAGTCAGTGTTGAGGCCGAGCTAGTTTCTATGCTTTCTGAGTATCATCCTTGCTTGAGGGCATGAAGATGCTAAAATCCACAGACATAGAAATGCCAGCCACACACATGCCTGCACAATCCCATCTTTACACAAGGATGCGTGTGCAGTCTTCCTGAAGTTCAAAAATAGTAGTTGCATGAACTTGGAAAGGAGCAACTGAACTGATGTGGGCTGTGATGTATCCGAGAAGTGTCCACCTGCCCTGAGTCTTTCTCTTAGACTGTCTTAGACTTTAGGTCTGTGGTTTTGTTGCTGAGAGACGTCACAAGAGGCACTGGAAAGGATTTAAGGGGGCACGGGCACAGGGTCAAAGGGGAAAAAAAAACCAAAGCTCTGCAAATACAGGAATCAAATGCAGCCGTCAGTTTCTAGATTTCGAGTGTACATATTCAGAAGGCTACAGTAAACTACGTTACAGAGACTGACAAAAAGTTCCCACAGAATATTTTCATTTTGAGAGTCATGTGGTCTCTGCACAATGACTCAAATATGCTGTCATAGCACAAAGATAGTCATAGCCAATAATAAGCAAGTAAGCATAGCATATGTTTCAATAAAATTTTATTTGCAAAAATAAATGTAGCCCATGTAATTTAGTTTGCACAGGACATAAAGAACCTGGGATTGCCAAGATGGCTTCACAGTCCTGCAAGGCTTTCCATTCTTTTTCTGTTGTTGTTTTTCTTCTGACAGGGTCTCTGTGTGGTCCAGACTGGCCTCTACCTCGTCATCCTCCTGCTTCAGCTTCCTAAGTGCTGGGGCTGTGGGTATGTCCCACCATGCCCAGTTTGCCAAGGACTGACAGGGCTCCATGCTGCCTCCTCCAGAAAGGACGAAGGTCAGTTCTTCCCCATGTGGCATCAGTCTTGTCCAGTTTGGTTCTGTGGTTTGAAGTTCTGAAGTGGCGATGTTCACCCCACCCCCTTTCTCCCCTCTGTGTGTTTCCTCTACATGTTTCCCATTTTTCTTCCCTGTTCCTTGCCCTCACAGCATTGGGTGATTCTAGAACGAGACTCTCACAGTCATCACCCTGTCTTCCTTCCAAGTTCTCGTTTGTTCTGGGTTACAAAATGGCATCTACAAAAGCGGAAAGAAATCCGTGCCGCATGCTGCATCACTGGGCAGGACATGCCATCAGCTTGCTGTGTGACTGTGGGCAAATTACTTAACCTTTCTGAACCACTCTCTCCTCAGCTGGCAAATGAAAGTGTTGGCTGACTGGCTTCTAAAACCCCTTGCAACTATAGTTCTGTGGTTTTAGGGAGCTGCAGTCTCAAAGCTGTGGAGCTGTCTGGAGTCATTAGCCAGGACGTCACTCCCAGACGCTAATGAAACTGCCAGGGGGCCAGCAGAAAGCAGTCACATGATTTATAGTTGTCAACTTTCCTAAGGCCTGCATAGTTGAGGGGATGGAGGTTCCCGCAAACTTCAGAGGATCTGAGATGCCCCCACCAAGGAGGGATACAAATGACTCTAGGAACCCCATGCTCCAAGGAAATCCATTTATTTCTAGACTGTCATTTGGATAGCTGCAAGACACAGGCAGGTTTGGACTCAGTTGGATACAGAATTTAGGGGAGCTGGAGTTGGGGGGCTGGTCACTTTCTTTTCTTTGCCAGACCTTCTTATGTGGTGCTCTCCTGGACATATACAGACACCCCCTCAGAGTTCACCCAATAAACTCATGGCCAGGTCAGGAGAGAGGGAGGCTGGGAGGACTTCAGTTGGGGCCCAGGGGAGGTACAGGAATGGGACACTGAGGCAGGTGGAGGCTGGTGGCGGCTGGCAGCTCTCCAGTTTGTGCGGCATCATTTCCGTGTTTTCCCCTCCAGCCCCAGCTCATGTGGATGACACAGCTGGTGTGTGTGTGTGTGGGGGGGGGGGGCTGAAGCAAGACTGTGACAGTGTCCAGGAAGGAGGGGAGAGCGAGCCCACCTCTCCTTCCAGCGTTCCGTCACTGAGCTCCACAGCAGCCTGCAGAACCTATATTCTGGCCTCCAGGAAAGCGGGCTTTTATTGTCTGGCTCCGCTAAAGCTGTCTCATTTGTAACCTAAATAATTCACTCACCCATCTCTCTCTCTCTCTGAGCATCAGGAGAAAAACAAAGCCAGCCCTAGCCCTGTGCTCAGGTTTCCATGGCACAGAGGGCAAGCCAGGAGGCTGGGAGGCCATCCCAGGCCTTCAACTGTCCCCTGGGAGCGGTGACAAACACCTGAAATGGGTCACAATGTGTTTCTTCCATCCTAGAGCTAAAGACGGCATTGGCAGTTCTGAAATGTTTTCAAAACAAAATGAAACAAAGAATATGTCACAGAGACTTAATAATGGTCTGCAGAACATCGAATATTCACTTTCTTGCTCTTTCCAGAAAATATTTGCCAATCCCCTGCATGTATCCTCTGACCTCCACTCTTGAGTGTGGAAAGAGGCCATGACAGCCTTTGACCTCTCATGGGGACCCTGGCCTGTGGGCCCTGCTGTATGCAGAGACTGTTAGAGGCCTCCTTTCTGAAGTTAACATTGCTGCTCATCTCATAGAGTGAAAACAAGAACGTGCCCTGAGGTGGGGTGATATCAGAGTCTTATTCAAATGCTTAGGGAGACAGGGGAAGCCGAGGCTCCATCCTCAGCTAGCTATCACCGATCTGCCTTCTCAGGATCGGGCATCATCCAGGCTGGCCTCTAACACACCCCGTTCCCTAACTAAGGCCTGGGTGATGAGAGGAAGCCAGCATGCTACTCCCAAGCCATCTAGGAGGCCAGCCTGATTGTAAAGAACTTCAACTTTGGGCTGCACTCTGGTCTGACTTTCTGCCTTCCAGGTACCTATGCAGGGAGATGGCTGAAGCTCTTAGAAGAGAAGGGTCAGAGGGGCAACAAACGGGATGTCAGCTCCAGTGCTCCAGCTGCAACCAGGCCGAGTGACCTCTGGGCTACCATGGGGACTGCTCGGACTTGGGGGACTGAGAAGTGGCTCCACTCTGCAGTGGATGGGGATTCTGGATTATTTTGGATGGGAGATCAGTGGCGTCAATCAAAGTCCCAGTGATCAAAATCCCCCTCCCAAGAAACATGTAGCTGCTCTCCAGACAGTGTTTGCAGGGTCCCGCTCTCTAGATAAAATTACCACGTAAGACCTACCCTGGAATCTCAGCAACTATGGTTTGGAAGCCCGAGCTGTGACATCTTTGGGCAAACCATCTCATCTCTCTGTGACTCAGTTTTGTCATCCATTAAAACAAGAAAAAAACAAAACAAAAACCACCTGAAGTTTGGGTAGGGGTGATCCTGAGGACCTGTCCATCCCATAGACAGCAAAGGGTGTGAGCCACACACCCTGCCTCTGCAGAGCTGTGCTGAAGAGTTGTTGGGCTTCATCTCTGCTTTCCCACACTGTCCAAAAGAGATCCCACTGGCTTGGCATCAGGGGACAGTGTCTCCTTTAACATCTTAACATCTTTCTGGGGATGCAGGACTGATGGGAAGGTACTGATATGACTTCATCACCTTGGGTCCTGTGATCATGATTAGAGGGTAGCTGAAGATCTATGAGAGTCTCATCCACCCCATCCCCACCGCATCCACAGCAGGTAGCTCAGAGGCCATGGTACCACACACTTTAAACTGTTTAAATCATCTGCCATCTACTCCCTAGTTTGACAGGATATTCCTTAAGGACAGGATTATATGTGTTGACCTTTGTTCGTAGGAGAGCACAGGTCTCTAAGTATGTGGCCAAAGATCCAAGCATTTCTGCCAAGCAGCATGACTAACAGGGCCCTGGCAAGTCTGACATTGCATTTGACATGGGACACATGGGATTCCATGTCCGGGTGGGTGAGTCTTCATATCTGCTGGCTGGTGACCAGAAGCTATTCTTCAGTCCAGAGCCCAGTCAAGGCTGTTCTTTCTGCCTAAGCCATGACCCCGAGAGTTAGCGTGTGACCTGGAAAGCAAGCGGTCGGGTAGAAGAAGGTTAGAAAAAGCAGCAGTGAGCCAGCCACTGTAGCATGCCAGAGAGCCTCGGTCATGCAAGTCAATTAGAGGTCATGGCTGCTAGTCTCCTACAGCCGTCGAGCTGGACATGGTGGCCCGGTGCCGGCGTCAGTCAGACAAGCCTCACCACTGTTTGCTTCTGAGTCACCACACAAAGTGCAAAGGCCGTAATCTACCTTTCAGGCCACAAACCTTACCCTGTAACAGTATGGCAAATGTCCCAAGCTCTGTGATGGGCCTCACTTTGCAAGTCTTGATAAACATTCTCAGAATGGCTGTCTTCCTTAGCTGCCTACAGACAGGCTGCCCAGCCTTCCTTCCTTCCTTCCTTCCTTCCTTCCTTCCTTCCTTCCTTCCTTCCTCCCTCCCTTCCTTCCTTCCTTCCTTCCTTTCTTTCTTCTTTCTTTTTTTTTAATCAATTAAAAAAATCTTTTTTAACGTATGAGTGCTCTATCTGCGTGTACGACTTTATACCAGAAGAGGGCATCATATCCAACTTTACTGATGGTTGTGAAACACTGTGGTTGCCGGGAGCTGAACTCAGGACTCTGGAACAGCAGCCAGTACTCTCACCCACTGAGTCATCTCTCCAGCCCCCCTTCCTTTTTTTTAAGTTTTGTGTGTATGGGTGTTGTATCTGCACGAATGTCTGTGCACCATATGTGTTCCCAGTGCCTTAGGAGGCCACAAAAGGGTACTGGATCCCTTAGGACTGAGTTATTATTGACAGTTGCGAACTGCCATATGTGGGTGCTGGGAATTGAACCTGTGTCCTCTACAAAAGCAAGAAGCGTTCTTAACCACTGAGCCATCTCTCTAGCCCCCAAACAGTTCCTTGCTGTAGCTAGCTACCAGTGTTGTGTGTTCTATGAAAACGCCCGCTTTTCTTAGAACCCTAGAAACTGTTAGCCTTCTCACTGTGCATGTGGGGGCTGGGGGCGGAGACACTGCCTTGGCTTGTCCCTCGTTTGCACAGTTGATGATGACAGTGACATGCAACTAATTAGCCAAGGCACACATGAAACTGCTAAAGAGTCTGATAAAATTTTAATTGCCCCTTGTTTTGTGGGGGCAGGCAGCAAGCCATGATAATAATCTTCTTGGTGCTGTCACTGAGGAGAGATCAATCTCACTACAGGAGGGCAGGTAGGAACGGCAGGGAGTTAATGGCTGTGGTGTAAGGGACTGGGCACAGTCTGTGGCAGAGGGTGGTAGGCAGAGTAGTTACTGTTTCTGGAATTCAGATATTAGGAGAAATTCCTCCCTGGATAACCTAGGTAATTTCCTAGTTCTCCACCTTTTTTCTCCCTTAGGCTTTGTTGTTGTTGTTGTTTTGGTTTGTTTGTTTGTTTGTTTTGGAGACAGTATCATGCAGTCCAGGCTAGTCTTGAACTCCTGATCTTCCTGCTGAGTACTAGGATTACAGATGTGTGCCACTATACCTTGCTCCACTTTGTTTTGAAAGGCCTGATATTTTTTAGTGGTAAACCCATGCTAAGCAAAGAGGAAAAAACCAAGGCATGCAGAGCATCAGTTTTGCCTCCCAGGGCAAACCACATCCTCAGCAGCAGTGCCTAGAGTGGAGGCAGCCGCAGGAGGACTGTCTGGAATGCGTTCTCACGGTTCACATGTCCACCTTACAGTACTGCCATCCTGGCCCTCCAGGGCTCGGCCCCTGTGCTACCCCAGGTGAAGGGGAACAGGACGGGAGGACGAAGCATCCACCTCAATACCTTGGTGGTTTTGACCTTGTGTCCACTGCTGCAGCTCCACCCCGACAGGTCCGGGAGCACCTTACACTCCTCCCCCAGCAGGCAGGGCTCCATCTGACACCACCACTTCTGCAGGACGATGGAGGCTGTGGGGCAGGAGGCAGGTGTGGCTCTAAGCGCTGGGAGCACAGCGCTGGCCACGCTGGTCTGTGAATGAGGTGTACCTCCTTCCCACATGCCTAGGGCTTTGCTCGCTACCTCTCCCTTCTCTCCCCCCTACCATGGGCTGTCCAAGGAGGCAACACCGTACTTAGACTGAGGACTGGGGGCTATCCCAATAAACTTCATTACTGCCTCACACCGAAAGGGGAAGAGGACGTCAAGCTAGGAGGCAGCCGTCCTTAGCACAGAGGTCCCGCCTTCAGCGCTCTCCTTAGTGGATATGAACTGATATCCACACCACATCCGGGAGTGCACAAGCTGGTGTGCAAGCTAGTGAGCATGAGCATGGTGATCTGGATGCCGCCAGAGCGTGGGAACACAAGTGTGGGCAGAAAGGAGGGAAAGTGGATGTGTGATGTGAGGGATCACATGTGTCCACAGGAGAAGGCAAAGGTAGGCTGAGAGAAGAGTGGACTTGTAGAAGAGGATCTCTCTGGAGGAGTGTGTGGGCAGAGGAATTAGTGTGAGGGAATGCATCCCTGTGTGCATGGACCAGGTGGCAGGTGTGTGTGTGACCTGTAACAAGAGCTGTCTTCCTTTATGACACAGGGCAGGTCAGGTCTGCCCTTTCCTCCAAGATGATTCTCCATCACTTAAGACTGATGAGGTAAGTCTTGAGATGACTATGAAACCAGATCCCAGCAGATGGCAAGGCCTAAACAGACTTTCTTATCTCTGCTCTGGGCCTCCTTACCCACCTGGCTGCCCAGGACCTGGCCATTCACTCACCATCCACGCAGGAGGGCTTTGCCCTTGTAGTGCCAGCCACCTGGCCAGAAAGGCAGGAGCATTTGACGGTCTGGGAGCGCTCCTCAATGCGATTCCGGTTGCAGCAGCGATGTGCGGCAATCACCTCACAGGTGCCTTGCTTTACTAGGACTGATTGGCCAGCAGTATAAGATCAGGTGACCCTGGCCTCCAAACCTGCCCTCCTCCCTCCCACCCTGCTGCAGGCCCTCAAGTCCCTCCTCCTTGGTCATGGAAAGGTCATTTAAGAGATATCCAGTGCTGGGGCTGCAACTCAGTGGTAGAACTATGCCTAGCATAGAGGCAAGTGCTCAGGTCATACCTTCAAAACACACACACACACACACATGCAAAAAGAGAGGGAGAGAGAGACAGAGGAGAGAGAGAGAGAGAGAAAGCGTGTTATCTAATGGTAAGGAAGAGAAGAGCAGATGAAACCTTCATGTTACCTCTCTACCCACCCTGCTGAGGCCATACTCATGACTCTTTGAAAGCTGGAGTTGCACACCAGCCCCCACCTTCTACTTTCTCAGGGTGAGGGCAAGGGCCCCAGAGCTTACAATGCGTGGGGCAGGATCATCCGCTTACAGAGGCTTTAGCCATCCCAGAAGGAAAACCCCAGAATTAGGCCAGGAGACTAGACTTAAGCCTCCACCCGAGGGCCTCTCACTGCAGAACACCTTCCCCCTGGAAAAGATAGTACCAGTGTGTCTACCCAGGCCTTCTCTGGAGGGCAGCAGAAGAAGAGGACAGTTTCCTGAGTGATGACCAGAGGAGTCACCTCTGCAAATATTACTCTGCCCCAGAGATTTGCGGGCTTTGTGGGATGGGTTGGAGGGCCTTCTAGCTCTCCAGATGTCCTAGAAAACCCCTTCTCTAGTCTCACCGCCTTCCCCAAACCTGCGGCTGTTGGAGGCTGCAAGGAAGCAGAGGCCAGACGTGTCCACAGCCAGGCCAAGCACAGTGCTAGCACCCAGCTGCCTGGGCTCCAGTTGCTCACGGTCTTCTCACTCATTCTGTGGAGAGAAGTACATACCCTGCTTAACTCAGGGCAGATGCTCCCTCTGCACTCAGACTACTCAGTCTCTTCTCTGTGTCATGCTCTAGAAGCCCAAAGTTAAGCAGGATGCAAACCTTGTCTCCAGGCAGCTTGCAGCCAGTGATGAGTGATACAGAAGGACCAGGGAACAGGAAGGCAGAGCCTGTGGAGGAGACATTCAAGAGATTTTGCCGAGTGGATTGAAGGGCTGTGCCATGGGTTAGACAATGATGCTGACTCCCACTTTTTGAGCTCTTGACCCAAACACTTCCCTTGTGTGCTCCTGATTATATCCCACTGCAGAAGGATGGCTATAACCCATTTTACAAAAGAAGCTCCAAAAGTTTGACTCTAACCCTAACAGCCATCAGTAGAGCAGCTGAGTACACTGTGGAGCACCTGAAAATGTAGTTCTCTCCAGATCACTGGGAACACAGAACAGAACACACCAAAACCCCAAATCATCCAGGAGCTTGGTAATGATGTGTGTGGTAGACTCTAGTGAGAACCCAGTCTTACAGGGGAAGAAAAAGCAACAAGCAGGAGGTGTATACACAGTGCGTACAAGGCAGGGTGTGTGTGTGTGTGTGTGTGTGTGTGTGTGTGTGTGTGTGTGTGTGTGTCCGTCCTAATACGTACACACCAGGTCTGGAGAGTGTACATTGTTTGTCATTGAGAAGGGAAATTTGTTGCTTTTCTAAGAGAAGTGGGACGAAGAATGATTTTTTTCCCACCAGTTTCTTTCTTTTATGTGTTTGAGTTTCAAATCATGGGACTGTAATAGTGCAATTCAATCTGAACACAATTTCAATTTTTGAAAGAAAAAAAAAAGAAAAGAACGAAAGGAAGGAGGAAAGAAAGGCTTTTCGTAGTGGCAGATGCTTGTAATCCTAGCACTTCGGAGATAGCAGAAAGACCATTGGAAGTTTGAGGCCAGCCTGGTTTCCATAGTGAGTTCCAAGCTACATGGGAAGATCCTATCTCAAACAATCAAAAACAAACAAACAAAACCAAAACCCGGGGCTGAGGGGGATGGCTCAGTCAGAAAGAGGACTTGCTGAGCAAGCATGGGAATACCAACACAGATGTGAAAAGCTGGACAATGTAAAAAGATCACTGGGTTGCTGGACAGCCTAGTGCGGGATTCAGTGAAAGACCCTGTCTGAAGGGAGTATGGGGGAGGGCGGTAGAGCAGGAAGCCTCCGTCAGAAGGCTTCCCCTGGCCTTCACATGGTGCACACATGCATACACCATGCACACACACTAAAATAAATAAAGGAAGGAGGGAAGAAGCAAACCTAGGCTAGAAGTTAAATGTCTTGCCAGAGGTTGGCTGGCCTGTGACAGGACCCAGAAGCCTGCCCTAGGCCCAGCACTCTCTTCCTCCTTTCTCCTGTGAACCGAACAGGGCCTCAAACGTCTACACCAGAGGGTGGGTAAGAACCAGAGGGAAACCAGGGAAGCAGAAACACTGAGAAACTGGGAGACACTAGCCACAGAAGGGGACAGAAAGAGCCCCAGGAGGTCAAGGGTTGGCCTAGATCACTGGCCCCAGCCAGCGCCAGCTCCACTAAGACCTCAGAACAGGTCCTAAAACCTGCTTTAGCAGGTGCCAAAGCAAAGGCTACAGGTACTCCGTTGGAGGGGACGCTCACTCCTCCACTCCCATCTCCAGTTGTCTCACTTACCGTCCCTGGAGTCTTCAGGCTTCTGTCTGTTCATCTGCTGGTCTCAGACTCATTCCACCTGGATAAGTAGAGAGCAATTTGGAGGTAGTTCAGAATAGAGAGAGACCAGACCCCTGCAGGGGCCAAGAGAAAGCTTGGAAGAGAATAAGGGAACCGGCTGGGCATTAAAGGAAGTCCAGCTTAGGCTGTTCCGGTGGCAAGGGCAGTCGTTTCTGCTCTAGGAAAGGACTCCGGCTCCCCTGCCCTCCTCCCCCAGACTATGGAAACCTGAGGGGGAGGTGACCCTGAGAAGAGTGGCTGCGTTTTCCTTTTCCTAGGAGCAAAGCAGGAGTGAGGGGATAAGATTCAGTGCTGCCATCTCTCTGGTCTTGGGACAGAGCTAAGTTCAGAGAAGCGTGCAGAATCTGCCAGCTTCGTCCTGGAAGAGACCCCTGGGGGAGAATTCCGAGGTCTCCAAATTCCCCTGGCCTCCACCTCCAACCTGTCATGAGCCTCACTTCCTGGACTCTTCTGGAGCCGGCTTAATTCTGCTACAGTCCTTACAGAGCGCTAGCCTACCGGTGCAACAGGTCTTAGCTTCCGTGCACAGCCCACAAGGGCGTCTCCATTCTCCCCCAAGGTCCTGTGCCTGCTCAGTCTCCCATGAGAAGTAAAACTGAAACAGACACACGGGGCTGCTGAGCTCTGGAAAGGCCCAGAGGGGGAATGGGGATGGTGGAGGGGTGGCGCCCATCCGCTGGGGATGGGGGCGTTCTTGCCCTTCTGTGTGTGCCTGTTTTCTAAGTGGGTCTGCTCTTCCAGTCTGTGTCGGGGGCCCTCATTTTGAGCATCGCAAAAGTCACCTGTTCTTCTCTTGACGATATCCTGTTTCTGGCTGAGCTCTCCCCAAATCCCATCCAACTCATGCATTTCTCCTAGATACTCCAATGCTCAGAGAACTTAGGGGAAATGGGGACTCAGGATCTCTGGCATTCTATTCCCTCTTCAAACGGTGCTGGAGAAGGAGGCTTCTGGGATTTGTTCTTCAGCGTCTACCTCACTTTTCTAGGGCTGTTTTCCCAGTCCCCAGTTCAGGCTAAGGTGATGCTGAGGAGCAGCCTGCGTATCAACAAGGGATCAATAAGAACCTTCCACCTTGCTCTGCTTGCTCCTGTCCCCTTCCAGCACCCATTCTTACTTCTGGTACCCACCTGCTCCACAGCAGTGGCCCCGGTTCAACCCTCTGGCCTGAGGTCCTCGATGCCTCTGAGCTTGGGATCTAGACTCCCAAAGGCGGGTTTCTCCCGGGAGTGGCCAGCTTGGGTGTTGTCTGGTCCCGAGCTCTGTCTGTGATCGATCAGTCGCTATCAAGTTGCTGTGCCCTGAGGAGTGCAGGGCAATGGGCTAATCCGGCGACCTAGTGAGCCCGGTTCTGAGCACTAAGATGCTCTGGGCCTGGACCCACCAGCCCTGTGGAGCTCAGTCGGGTCCACCCAAGCTTCCCGCCCTCAGGCTGGGGAGCGCGCAGCCGCTTGGCTGGGAGTTGTCCCCGCTGCTTCAGCCCTTGCGGGTACCTCTGCCTCCTTCGAGATGTGTGGGGGCGCTCTGCGGGGAGGTTGAGCACAACTGGCTCGCAGCGGCCTCTGGTGGCCCAGGGCGAGACCAGGGACAGAAGCCCACCGGGCTCTGTTTTCATGGACAATTCTTCTGGGGGCAGCACGTGACAATTAGAACAGGTCCCTAAAACCTCCAGGAATGTGGCCCCTAGTCCTGTGGTGCAAGGGAGGTAGGTGGTGTTCTGGGGTCGGGGTAGGCGTTGGGGCTGGGGGTAGTCTTCAACTACACCAGCAGTAGACTCTTATTTAAATCTAAGCTCGTTAGGTCTTAAAATTCAGTTTTTCAGACCATGTATAGCGGTTCACACCTATAATCCCGGAACTTGGGAGACTGAGGCAGAACTGTCACAAATTCTGGCACAGCCTGGGCTATAGTGTGAGACCCTATCAAAAAAACAAAAACAAATGAAGAGATGGGGACAGGGTAGACAGGAGGTTGATTGCACAGGAGGTTGCTTGCAAGTTTGAGGACAGCTTGGTCCATATGGTTTACACAGGGTTCCAGTCAGACCATATCTCAAAATGAAGGAAAGAGAGAGAAGGGGAGAAAACCCAGTCCTTTGTTAGTACACTCAAGTGTTATTTGAGGTGCTTTCCAGGCACTGGAAGCTAGGACCACTGTATTGGAAGATTCCTATGTTGCACAATGTTCTTTACCACAGGCTTTCCCAGCTGACCCCCAGCAAGAAATAGCAAATACTTCCAGCATAGACGTGTTGCCCTCCTACCCGGGAGGACTAGGGGTAGTACCAGGGTGGAGAACCAGACTGGAGGGCTTCAGGAGGCTGGTGAATGGCCCCGTGAATAATGAGTGTGACTCTCATCTTGGGAACCAAATCTGAGGTTCCCAGTGTCTTCCTAGACGAATGGTAAATAGTCCTAATTACAAAATGTTAACAGGTTTGTATTTTGGATGCAGTAGACACCCAAGGGCAGAGGTGTTTGTGAACCTGTCTCTATGGGAGGGAGGTCTGCACCTGTTACAGTTGGGAAGAACTGGGGAGATGGTAAAGTATGGGGGAGAAACAAAGAATACACTTGGCCCTGGGATGAGGGATGGAGTCTCCTCTCTTTTTCACTCTCTCTTTCCATTTTGTAGGTGCTGGGCATTGGTTGATTGGCACCTTTACCTGCTAAGCCACGCCCCCCACCAAAGACAAAGTCTCACTATGCAGCCTTGGCTGGCCTTGAACTTGCTGTGCAGCCCAGGCTGGCTACCAACTTCTGATCCTCCCATCTCTGCCTCTGCCTTCTGGTATTACAGATGTGTGCTACCATGCCTGACTCAGGAGGCCTGTTCTGAGGATGCTCTGTTCCTTCCCTGGCTCAGGCCTGGCTCTCATTTGTCACTGAGGAATGTCTTTTGGCTCCCAGGAGAGAACACATCTCATAAATGTTCTTTCCCTGCTTCCCCGCCCCCCTCTACTGCCTCAGGGAGAGGACCTCTAAGCAGGTGTGGGTGAGTCAGGATGGAAGAGGTCCAGGAATATGTGTGTGTGGGGGAGGGGACAGAGGTATGAGAGCCCTCGAATTTGGTTATGGATGGGAGCCAGAATGGTTCCAGAGTCCAGGGGAGCAAACGACCTCCCTGACCATTGTCTGGTATTGGAGTCCAGGGGTCTAAAGGCCCTAGTTCTGTGGCCCATTTTTGCAGCCACAACGTGTATCTGTGAGGAGCAAGGAAGCTGGATGACACTGAGAAGTGATAGGTAAACTGCCCCAGAAACACTGAATAATAAAGCCAAAGTTACTCTTTTTTCTCCAGTCTTTGGCTTCCTGCTGACATTATGCCATTTATCAGACAGTTGACTTCAGTTTTCTCAAACAGGAAGAAAATGCCCATAGTGACAGTATGCTCTTTGTCCCTGGATGCCTTTGCTGATGTTCTTGAGTCTGAATTTTTACCAGTCCACCCCAACTCCATCCCGGTGACTTCATTTTTTCCTTCCGTCATCTTCCCCCGAAAAGCTCGGGCATAATTACGGCAAGTCTGGGTACTTTGTTTGAATGACCACTGTGGAATTTTTATTTAGAAGTGGTCAAGAAAGCCACCCCTTCTGGGAGGCACAGGCTATCCCAGGGTATGATCAGGAATCACCAACTGGGTCCCTACACGTAGAATTCCAGCTATGAACAGGGAGTCTGTGGTTCCCTCAAGGGCCTTGACTTCTGTTGAACTGTATGTTGGGGGATGAACTGTATGATGGGAACTACTCTCTAATCCCAAGTATAAGGACAAAACTCTTTCCGAGTCAGGACAGTAATCCTCTCCTATAGAAGGCAGAGAAACAGCCCACCTGTGCCGAGTCCAGCCCCAGGTTTCTAACAGTGGGCTTTCCTGAAGCCCAAACAAGCTTTAAGAGTGGCCTTTGCCTCCCCCTGGCGGTAGCCAGAGAACTTGCTCAGCATCCCCGTTCTGCTTGAAGCATCTGAGGATGGGAATTTAGGATTCCCACTCCTTTCAACGTCTCTCTTCCTAATCCAGAGAAACCAGCGTCAGAAATAGTTTCTGCCAGGCGTACGGCTCTGGAAGTGGCTGCGTGACTCTTGGGCAGGTCTAGTAAAATAACAGGAGACTGTCCGCTCCGGCCTCATCTGTAAAATGGGTGTAACCCACCTTGAGGTATCGGTGTAGTGACCTAATGAACAGAACGTGCTTTGTAGAGGGCCTAGTGGGCAGCAAGTTCTCAGTAATCGTAGTTATTTATTATGCCGTTAGCCTTACTGACTGGCCAGCAGAAGTCTAAATATGGAGGAACGGTTCTGAGAAAGTGGGGTGGGAGTGACAATCGTTCTCTAGAATGTGAAGGTGACCTTTAGACAGACTAGTGCCTTCAGGAGCCCAAGATTTTGCCCCAGGACCCCGATCCGGGGAGGTCAGCTGCTGGGCTTGATTAGCACAGCAGCCCGCACCAGCGCTCTCCCCCCCCCCCCCCCCGCTCTGTCTCTGTCTCTCTTCCTCCCTCCCTCCCTCCCTCCCCTCCCCTCTCTCCTCTCTCTCTCTCTCTCTCTCTCTCTCTCGATTCAGCAGCTCCAGCCTGAGGTGTTGTCACACCAAGTGCTTCACACCCAAGTGGATGTTTCGCTCTGAAGTCATCAGCTCCATAGCTCCCTATGCTGTGCGGGCCACCCCGAACGGAACGCAATAGGCTGCCTCGCCCACCCCCCACCCCCACCCCCGTCACAATGGGTAAATTCTAACGGATTAAGTCTAGTGGATGTCTAACCTACAGAACGACTGAAATGTTTCCTTCTCTCCGCTTCCTCCCCACAACAGACCCTTCCCCTGTGACACACTGGCGGAACGACGTCGGGATGCCGATAAGAGGCGGGGAGCTGGTGGGGCAGTTCCCGCAAGGCTTAGAGAGCCTGGGGAAGTTTGGCCTGGATCGAGAGAGGGCACCGCCCACTTGAAGCCCTAGGGGCGGGGCCTCTCCGGGGGCGGGGCCACGGCCGAGGGCGGGGCAGGGAGGCAGCATGCTAAACCGGGTGCGCTCTGCTGTGGCGCACCTGGTGAGCTCGGGTGGCACTCCGTCCCAGCGCCCTAAGTCCCCCGATCTGCCCAACGCGACCTCGACGCCTCCTGCCGCCTCAGAAACGCCTAAGAGCCCCCCGGCGAGGCCTGGGAGCGTGGTCGGGTTGCCCCAGAAGACCACCGAGACTCGGGCGAGCTTCTCCAGACCCACCTTTCTTCAGCTGAGCCCCGGGGGGCTGCGACGCGCCGACGACCACGCAGGCAGGGCCGTGCAAAGCCCCCCGGACACCGGTCGCCGCCTGCCCTGGAGCACAGGCTATGCCGAGTGAGCACCCCCGGGGCTCCCAGCTGAGGATGGGACTCCCACCCTCCCAGGAGACGCATCCCGGCCGCTGGGATGCGTCCCCCCGGTACGAGGTTCCGGGGACCTTCCCAGGAGCTTGCACCCTTCCAGCCCTCTCTCGGACGGGGTGCAGCCTCAATAGCCTTCTTCGGGACCTTGCCCACCCTTGCCCTCGCCGGCTCAGGACAGTCCCCTCCTAAGGAGAGCGCAAGGCGCACCAAGGATGAGTTGGCCAGTTCACAGTCGCTGGCCGCGGTTCACAGGCTAAGGGAAGGGAGGTTCGAAAAGGAGCAGTTCCTTTTCCCAGGGAGATCACGGGTGGAAAGACTCGCTCACCCGCTTCCTGGCCCCAGCGCCCCAGTTCCCTGTCCTTCTTACCGGTCCCCTCCCCCTCCACACCCAGAAATAGCCCGCGACAACAGAAGGCCGCGGGCTTCCCGGGGCGGGGGAGGGGTCTGCCGGCGGCGCGCGATGGTTCCCTTTGGACGCGGGTCTGCAGACAGACAGGTGCTGGTAGGGCAAGGAAATAGACCCCTTGGTTCACACGGCCCGAGCGGCAGCGTGCTCCCAGAACCTTTATATTTTTAACGCATCTTCGGGGAAACCCGAGCCAAGCCACCAGGGACCTGGGGGCACTGAGGTTGTGGAGGGAGGTGGTGGGTGGCCCCTCACCCTCACCGCCTCACTTTGCTTGCCACATGGGAGGAGTTTATAGCTAAGAGACTCTTGCCCGGTCCAGGTGAGCCTACGTTTCCTCTTACCCAACTTGGGCTGGAGCACTTCCTTACTGCAAGAGAGATCGGAACTTTCACTGGGTGGTTTTACGGTGAGGGTGGATGTGCCTGTGAATCACTGGCAGTGGTGGTTGAGACTGGAGGTGGGAATGTAAAATTTTGACTGGTAGGGAAGTAAAACTTACTACTGCTCCTGTCTGGCCACACCTCCAGCACCACCTGGTAGAAAGCCTCCTTGGTCCAAGGATGAAGGAACTGAGGCAGGGGGTTACTATTGCGGTCCTTTCTATGAGGCGATGCATTCTGCCACCCAGACGGGACTTCTTGCTGGCCCTGCCTTCTCCTCTTCCCTCTGGCTTGAAGCCCAGGCAGCTGTGACCTTTTTCAGCTTGGCCAGCAGGCAGGAGAGGATGTGTGTGTGTGTCTAAGGTGGGGTTATTCCAGGACCTAGTCTGGTGTCTAACCTGATGTGGGACACTCTGGCCTGGCAGGGTC